TACAATGAGATATACTGTACAAAATTTCATAAAGATCGGTTAAGAAACACATTAATTGTGTGAGTTCGAATTGTGTGAGTTCGAACATCGCCAAGGGAATTTATTTATTTTTTTTTTTTTGTGCTACTATTTTAATTGGTATTTTTCTCTGGTGTGGCTGTTGAGTAGAGGCGGTGGCAAGTGGAGTAGTCTGTCGCGAGTTCGATCCCTGTCCAGGAAGGTGTTTTTTCTGTGGCCGTTGAGTATAGACGGCGGCAAGTAGTCCGGTGGTTAGTTAATTGTGAGTTCGAACATCGCCAAGGAAACTTATTTATTAATATTTTTTTTTGTGCTACTATTTTAATTGGTATTTTTCTCTATGATACTCAGTTACTGGTGTGGCTATTGAGTAGAGGCGGTGGCAAGTGGAGTAGTTTGTTGCGAGTTCGATCCCTGTCGTCCAGGAAGGTGCTTTTTCTGGGGCCGTTGAGTATAGCTACTATTTTAATTGGTATTTTTCTCTTTAATACTCAGTTACTAGTGTGGCTGTTGAGTAGAGGCGGTGGCAAGTGGAGTAGTCTATCGCGAGTTCGATCCCTGTCCAGGAAGGTGTTTTTTCTGTGGCCGTTGAGTATAGACGGCGGCAAGTAGTCCGGTGGTTAGTTAATTGTGAGTTCGAACATCGCCAAGGAAACTTATTTATTAATATTTTTTTTTGTGCTACTATTTTAATTGGTATTTTTCTCTATGATACTCAGTTACTGGTGTGGCTATTGAGTAGAGGCGGTGGCAAGTGGAGTAGTTTGTCGCGAGTTCGATCCCTGTCGTCCAGGAAGGTGCTTTTTCTGGGGCCGTTGAGTATAGCTACTATTTTAATTGGTATTTTTCTCATTAATACTCAGTTACTAGTGTGGCTGTTGAGTAGAGGCGGTGGCAAGTGGAGTAGTCTGTCGCGAGTTCGATCCCTGTCCAGGAAGGTGTTTTTTCTGTGGCCGTTGAGTATAGACGGCGGCAAGTAGTCCGGTGGTTAGTTAATTGTGAGTTCGAACATCGCCAAGGAAACTTATTTATTAATATTTTTTTTTGTGCTACTATTTTAATTGGTATTTTTCTCTATGATACTCAGTTACTGGTGTGGCTATTGAGTAGAGGCGGTGGCAAGTGGAGTAGTTTGTCGCGAGTTCGATCCCTGTCGTCCAGGAAGGTGCTTTTTCTGGGGCCGTTGAGTATAGCTACTATTTTAATTGGTATTTTTCTCATTAATACTCAGTTACTAGTGTGGCTGTTGAGTAGAGGCGGTGGCAAGTGGAGTAGTTCGTCGCGAGTTCCGATCCCTGTCGAGGAAGTTGTTTTTTCTGTGGTTGTTGAGTAGAGAGAGACGGCGGCAGGTGGTGGTGTGTGATGTGATGATTGGTGGTGGTTGTTTGTTGTGAGGTTATTTCAAACTTATTTTTGTTACTACTAAATTTCGTGTTGGTTTAATAGGGTTAAAGGTATCCCCTAGTCGGGAGCTCCCGAATAGAACCACTTACTTGTTTCAATTGTTTTGTGGCGATTACGAACTGAAATGAAATGTTGTGTCTGTCTGGGCTTTTGCGTATTATGTTTCACATGTGTCGCCCTTGCCCTTCAGTCTGGCAAATAAATGATGGCACGCAACCAGATCGGTTCAATTTATAATGCTACACAGATTAGCGACACACGGCCGCAGACGACACAGCCTCCCCGCACCCTCCTCTACCACACATATCCATCCACAGAATGTACACACTGGCAGCTGGCCAGCGAGGTCCCAGGCCCACGCACTTGACTCTTGGCGCACGCACGCATCTGTGTCACAGGAGAGCCAAGGCATGTGCTCGTATATCTAGCTACATATATATATATATAAACATATATCTATCTATATCTGTATATAGTGCGTCAGCAGCGCGGAAGTATCTACGTCCCTTGGGTCTTGCGGAGAGGGGGCTACGTCGCCGCGTCGCATCTTTTTTGATTTATGCGCTATTTTGCCAAAGTCAACAAATGAAAATGACACTCGACGTTTTTTAATTTACAGTTTTTAATTTTTAGTTTACTTATTTATCTCGCGCTCGTATTTTCAAGGCTGCTTTTAAACATTAAAAATCATGACAAACAAAAACACACATCGTAAAATTAGCTAAACTAAATAAAATAAAAACAAAATAAATGAAAAAAAAATATATATATATTAGTTAGTTTGTTTCTCTCTTGCGATTGGCACCGGGAGGTCTAGGTATTAACGACTACTCCCGGCTTCCTGCGGAGAAATTTATATAATATCCCCCTAAATTCAATGTATGTGTATACACTGGTACGCTCATTTGTAATATTATGGACAAACGGCGCGTGGCGGTTAGGGGGTTCATTTATGTATGTATATATCAAATTTTTCGTAAACGTCGTACGGGTGGTTGTGGGTGGCGGGCGGGGCGGTGTTTGAGTGTGTAGTAGAAGTTAGAAGGAAGAGAGAAACAACAACAACAGAGATGACGACGTTTGAGAAGAGAGGATCGATTGAGACAGTGGCCAAAGGGTGGGAGAAAAATGGTAGTAAATTCCACAAACCGGTGGGGAGTAGTGAAAGAAGAGAAACGTAATATTATTATTATTATTAATTAAATTATCGTCCTCCCACAGCTGGCTTTGAACCCACGGCTGTTGGCTTGGAATATTTTCAAGAACAACGTGCATCTCAACGCCTTACACTAACCCACCTTCAATTCTACTTAGCTCTGCTACTGCACCACATTAAACAGATCATTTGATAGTGCAGTTCGAATCCCGGCGCATACAAACCATTATTTTATTTTCAAATCATAAATTTGGTTGCCATTGCTTTTTTTTTTTTTTTTTTTTTTGTCGTGAAATAGTTATAAGTTTGAACAATAATAATTAATAGCATAAGCTGATTGTAAATGCAAGATTGTGTAATAAATAAGTGCAACTGGCGCCAGCTATGCCTCAATATATGTGCATGCATGTTTAGCGCCACCTATGTGTGATAGCACAGGCATTTGTGCCTGTGCTGCCAGACTGTACAAGCGACAATGACACAACGATGGCGCTTGTAAACTGTTATACACGAACGAGCCGTTAATTTCAAAGGCAACATTTAAATTTATATTTGAAAAAAAAGCTGAAATTTCATACTTTTAAGCAGCCGATTGATGAAAGTTTGCCAAAATGTTGAGCCGCGCAATGCCAGTTAATGTTTGCACACCTTCCAATAAGAAAAGTCACATTTTTGTTGTAATTAAGTTGTATTTATATCGTATGTTTTTCGTTTTAATCCATCTAACTTTCATATATATATTTATATGTTATTTGTGTATTTTGTATATTTGCATATTTTTTTTTTTTATTGTGTTGTTGTTGTTGTTGTTGTTGTTAATTATTTTAATGCGCAATTCGTGTGACAATTTTGCGTAAGCTTTTAGAAAATGAGAGAGCGAGAGAGAAACACTTGTGCGTGTGTGTGTGTGTGTGTGTGTGTGTGTGCGTGTGCGTGTGATACTATTAACTAATTTGATCAAGTGTTAGCTGCATCATAAAGAGAATGTCTGCAATTGATTTGTGTCTCTGACTCAGATGCAGATGCAGCTGCTGTCTTTAATTTGTATTGCATTAATTACGTGAGTGTGTGTGTGCGTGTGTGTGTGTGTGTGTTATACCCCTGCAGAGAGAGAGAGAGAGAGAGAGAGAGAGAGAGAGGGACTTATCATGAAATGTGTAATGCCTTTAAAAGAGTTCAGCTTTAAGTAAATTGAAAATTAAAGTTAAAAACTTTTCGAAAAACTAAACAAATTTTACAATAAATATATTCGATTAATACTTTCCGTTAAACTATGCTATTAATTAATCTGGCGATCTGTGCAGATGCAATCGTGAAATTGAACGCAAGTGAATTCCGCTGAACGCGTGAAAATGTTAGTAGTTGAGCTGTGGCAACACAGACAGAATATTTCATATATATTTCACTTTATTCAATTTCACTTTTCAATTTCACCTCTAATTCCACGGCTAATTCCACCGCCAATTGTTTAGTCAGAGCCCCGCGCTTTGGTATATACACATGGATTTCTAGGCCACATTTATGCTTGGGGTCCAAAACTCTGCAAGGGTATTTGCAGTTCGGCGTGGCCGAATGCTGCGCTACTCGAATCGAAAGCGTGCGCTATGTACATGGATTCACGGATTCACGGATTCACGGATTTACGTGAAACACGATTCGATGACAATAAACACAACTTGTCAATTGATATATATACTAATTTTTAATTAAGTGTACTAGAGTTAAGAAAAAAAAACGTGGGCCAAAAAAAAAAACGATATTAATTTTAGGGCAAAAAAAAAAAAAACACTTTTCTTAAACAATAAAAAGCCTTTTGTTGTGTTTTGCGTTTTTTGTTCAACTTTCACTTGTTTTGTTTGCAATCGATTTGAAAACTAAATTAAATCACATTTAGCATATTTTGTTTTTTTTTTTTTTTTATCTTTTTTGTTTAACGCTTTTTTTTCTTCTGTTTTTCCATTTTTGCTTTACTTTTTTTTTGTTTTTTGTAGCTTAAAGTTAAAATTTGCCTTTTCTTTTTCATTTGTTGAATAATTTAATATTTACATGAGGCGAAAAAAAAAACTGTTGAATTAATTAATTAATTAATGCTATTTTATATGTATTAGCTGCATGCGTGTGTGTGTGTGTGTGCCTTAGGTATATGAAAAAAAATTGTTATCGATTTAAATATTTAATTAATTTATTAGATTTATGCTTAGAAAATTAACATTGCCGAGTTGCAGCGCCGCCCCCGTCTCCTCCCCCTTCTGGTTCGTCTTCTCCTTCCCCTTCTCCTTCTGCTTCTCCTTTTGCTCCCCCTTCAATAAGTACTTGTGTGTCCAGCCTAGAACAACACATCGATGTACATGTTTCATCTGCTGCCGCCTTCGGGCCCGGCCCCGCCCCCGCCCCCGCCGCTGGCGCTGCCTCCGCCGGCGACATGCTCCTGCTTGACCTTGAGCAGGAGCTGCTGATGCGACAGCGCTTCGTCCTCGTCGTCGCAGATGTCAATGTCGCCATCGGCATCGCCATCCACATCCGCATCGACATCCGCATCGATATCCGCATCGGGATCGGCATCGACATCGGCATCGGCATCGCAATCCTTGTCCATGTCCTCATCCTCATCGGGCTCCTCCTCCGGCTCGGACTCGGCAACGGAAACGGAAACGGAAACGGCGGCCGCGGCGGCAACCGCAGCAGCGGCATTGCGCGCTGCAACCGCCGCGGCGGCAGCGGCAGCAGCAACAGCTGCCTCGGCATAGCCGGCGGTGCCATGGTGGTGCATGTGCATCGCATGCTGCACCGCTGCCGCCTGCTGCTGCTGCTGCTGCAGCTGCTGCTGTTGCTGCTGCTGTTGCTGCTGTTGCTGGCGTCGCTCTGCCGCTGCCGCTGCCGCTGCCGCTGCATGCTGCTCGGCCAGTTGCTGCTGCTGTTGCTGCTGCTGCTGCTGCTGCTGGAGCTGCTGCAGGTGGTGCAGATGCTGCTGCTGGTTGTACGGATGATGCTGCTGTCCCGATTGCTGCTGCTGCTGCTGCTGCTGCTGCTGCTGCGGCTGCCCCGTCGTATGCGCGCCATGATGATGATGATGATGATGATGATGCATGCCCGCGTGCATGGCCGCCGCGGCAGCGGCTGCGGCGGCAGCGTCGCCATGATGATGATGCGCCGCAGCGGCGGCTGCCGCGGCCGCATTGGCAGCGGCAATGTGGGCATGGGCGTGGGCCGCGTGGGCGTGCGCCGCATGGGCGTGGGCCGCATGCTTGCTCTGCTTGCCGCCGGCCGAGCCGGGCGGTGGCGGCGGCGCGTCGAACAGCAGACGCGATATCGAGAAGCTGGATATGGGCGAGTTGTGCGTGCTGCCCGCCGAGTAGGAAGTGTTCGTGTCGTCCGAGGTGGGCGTCTCCCGGTCGCTCTCGTCGCTCTTCAGCAGCTCGGCGGCCTCCAGCGACTTCTTGTGCATGCCCAGCAGCCAGGGCGCCACGGACTCGTCCTCCTTGGCCGACTTGATGATTGTCTCCGGCAGCGGCAGCGAGTGCCTCACCATCGCACCGTACAGACCGTACTCGGCCATCTTGGTGCTGTGGCCCCAGCACTTTTCCGTTTTGCGCCACTTGGCGCGTCGATTCTGGTACCAGACCTACAACAAGAACAAGAAAAAGAAGAAGAGGGAGAGGAGGAGTTAATAGGCGCACATTATCACTGCAGAGCTTGGGTATAACCGAACACAGGGTGTGCCTGATTCTATTCACATTAATATACCCTGTGCACAGTGTGCGAAAAGGGTATATTGGCTGTGTGCTAAGACAAGGGTATAACAGGATCAGAGAACTGGAACGATCCCCAAGAAAGCATGTTCTTCAGTGTCTATATACCCTTCACAGAGCATGCGTAGCGGGTATATTGGCTGTGGACAATAGCTTAACAAGAGCAGGGAATTGGACTTGAGTAAGCCACAACAAATGTCGAAAAATGAGCTCAAAGAAACCCCCAAATAGAGAACGTTCTAAAAGAGTTGATATACCCTGCACACAGAGTGCATAATGGGTATATACATAGGCTTATGGTAATGCATAAAATATTCGAGAGAGATATCAAAATACTCATTCGACTGTCTTCTGCTGCACAAATATATTTGTATACCCTGCACACAAAATGTGTAGCGGGTATATTGGCTTCGTGCAAAAGCTAGGGTATAACTGTACCATCTGGCTTGAATTGAGCTTATCCAAAAAGACATTGGATGATTCCAAAGAGAGAAACTTCTTCAGTTTTGATATACCCTGTACAAAGTGAGTGAAACGGGTATATTGTTTTTGTACAATGCAGCGTTCGAAAGATTTATCAAATTATTTAAGTTTTCTCCTCTCTCTCTCTCTCTCTCTCTCTCTGTTGCATATTCCCATTATGATACCCTGCAATGCGCGCAAATGGGTATATTGGTTTTGCGGCATATAAAGCCAGGGTGTAAAGAGAGCATAACGAAGATAACGAAACAATGCCAACGAAAGCCTAATCGGGCAAGGTTCTGAGTCAATATACCCTGTACGCAATGTGCCCAATGGGTATATACGCACACACAGACGTACAGTGAAACGCATCCCCTGCAGCTGCCTCATTAAAAATGATATGCGAGTGTTGCGCTGCTTCTTCTACATTCGCCGTGGCATTTTCTCAGATTACGCTAACATTTTTGGTCCCGAATTCAGGCGGAAAAATAGTTGAGGAAAACAAAATAGAGAATAGGATGTGAGTGCGGGACAGATTTGGAGGGCAGCTTTTGCTCATCGCATTGCTTTAATTAGTTGAGAATTTTAAGCGCTACGCAACGAAAAATTGAATAAAACTGGACGAAGACAACCTTTCAGCTAGGCCAATGCTTGCCTCCCCCTTGGGGATTCTCTCATATAAACAAACGGCGAAAATGTCATTAGTGTAAATGCGATAATTACGCATAAACAGGACGAAAAGTAGAAGAAACAGGGCCAGAAGCGGAGCAAATGAAGAATAGCAGGGACATGAACCGAGTGAGAAGGATGGCCAGATCTTTATCTCGAGACTTATCTATATGTGCGTGTGTGTGTGTGAGTGTGTGTGTGTGTGTGTGGAGTGCAGCAAAGCGGCCAAAAACTAATTAAATTAAATGCAACAACAACAACAACAGAAGCAGCGAGTGGGGCGTGTGGGCGTGGCAGCATCTACTTTGGACTGGCTCGAGCGACGTCTGAGCCGAATTAGTCGAAACGTCGAAACGCCACTTGTCACGCAGACAGACCCCCCCCCCCCCCCCCCCCCATTCCCGTCTACCACTTGGCCCCCTCGTCTATTGACTGCCCGCCACGCCCCTTTGTGAAGTCTTTCAGCGGCACGCGCTGATTTTGTAGTACTTATTAGTCGAACACGAAATGTTGCCAGCAGTTTTTCCATTTTCGTGCATTAAACGGTCAATTTTCAATTTCGCAGACAACTTGTAAAGTGGGCGCGTCTCAAGGGGTATCAGGTTGAGGGGGGCGGGGGAAGGGGGGGGGGGAAAGTCTTGCTGTTGCTGCTGCCGTGGATTGTGTTTGTCTCCCGAGGGACAACTTAATCTTCTGTTGTGAAAAGTTCAGGCTTTCCCAGGGTTGCACTCTCTACCCCCCTCTCTCTCTCTCTCTCGCTCTCTCTCTCTCTCACACACTCGCTATGGCTGCATGTGCCGCAATTCTCTGCGGACCATAAAAATAGAAGTCGACGGCGGTCGCATTAAATTTGCTTGCCACGCGGCTCGCTGTCCATGCTTAGAGAAGGGGGGGGGAGGGGTAAGTGGGGTGGGCGTTGTTGTTGCTGTTGTTGTTGGTGTGATGTCAACATTTGCATTTACAGTTGTTTAGTTCTGTTTGCCACTGCACTTGAGATGGCAACAGGAGGAACACGCGGCGAAAAAACATGGCAAATTAAATCTGCTTGAGTTGACAACACTTAACACCCAACCCTCCCCTGCCACGCCACCCCTGGCCCACAAGCAAGTGCAGTGTAGTTGTAGTAGTAGCAGACGGGGAAGCGAAAGGGGAAGGGGAAGTGGAAAGGGGGGGGGGCGCACTGAGCTCAATCAGTGTTGCTAATGCGTTGATAAATGACTTTTTAAAATGTGCCTGGTTCTCAGTGTTGGGCAACACTTGCCGCTGTTTGCCTGCTGCAGCACTGGTCAACAGTGCAGCAAAGGGGGGGGAGGGGGGGGGCGGGTAACTGGATTTGACAAATGCTAACAAGTGCGGCACGCGGCAAGCATTTTATATGTCATCTGTTAGTTGATTTTATGGCCGATTACCGTATAAAATGAGAACATGCAAGAGGGTAGCTCGTTAAGGTCCCTGACGGGGCTACAGGGTATACTACAGGCCATGTTTATTCTATTTGTAATGCTAAATAGTGTGTTTCTTAAGGCGATTACACTCTAGGAGGATAGCTCCTCAATTGAGGCCTGCGACAGTGCTACAGGGTATGTTCCAAGTAATTTCATTTTCCAACTGTTAATACCCTGTAACGCTGCAAATGTGCTTGTGCTGCCCTTTTAATTGTTTTAAGGGAGTCCAAAAGTATCTCGAGCCCTCTGACAAAAAGCTAAGAAAATATGCCAGATCTTAAAAAACTATCATTAGACATATTTCATTTGATGCCAACTTCACAATCTCGGGATCTATTTTATCTAGAACTCTGAAATTTGGTAAGCAACGAAATTCAACTTAGCTCAAGTGCAAATTGTGAATATTTCGTTAAAGTCCCTCGCAATGTCAATGGAAACCAAGTTCAGCAATTGGTATACAATTTACACGGTATCTGCTAGTCGTGCAGTATCGTTAGATACTGCTCGCACTCTTGGCTATTATCTAACTACTTTTTTTTTGGTTGCATTTTTTAATGATGCAAAAAACAGAGACAACAAAAAAAAATGCAAATTGCAATTTGTGTAATGCTTTTGTTTCATAGCCATAACCTCTTTTGTTTAAATGTTAATTACATAATTATGCATAATCATTTTAAACAGTATTTCGCGTATGTGTGTGTGTGCGTGTGTGTGCGTGTGTGTGTGTGTGTGTGTGTGTTAACAGCTCATTAAAAACGCAGCAACATCAGCGGGAAAAGCAAAAAAGTAGAAGAAAAAGAAAAAAAATGTTAAAATGTAGGGGCGGGGCAGGGGCAGGGGCAGGGACAGGGGCAGGGGCAGGGGCAGGGGCGTGCTGTGTAAAGTGTATAATTAATGTGTAAACGCGGCAAAGCAGTTAAAATTATGCAGAAAAAAGAAGAAGGAGTAGAAGAAGAAGAAAAATGCAAAACATTTGTTACACTTTTGCTGATGATTTGAGCAGGGGTTGGCTGGGACCAGGGCCTGAGCACACACACACACGCACACACACACACACACGCACACACGCACACACGCACACACGCACACACATGCACACGCGGCAGGAAGTAGAGGCAGCCGCACAGCACGTGACGAAAGTTGAGAAAGCGAGCGACTCTTTTCACTTTGCCTGATATCGATAACAACATATCGATAACTTTCGAAATGCTATCGAGCATTTTCTTAAAGCTCTCAAACTGAAAACAGATACGGCTATTTGAAGAGCTTTTACTCGAGGGCTGAGTGCGAATTTATAGCTGGCGTTGTGTTTTTTTTCTCTCTCAATTTAAATCAATAATGTTGCAATTTGGCAGGTGCTTCAGTTGTTGCTAAGCTCTCGAAAATGTGTTTAAGTAAAGCGAAATGATTGGTGCTTGAGCGATTTCCCTTGAGAGTTTGCCATTGTGCCTCAGCTGGGCAATTGCAACAGGCGGTGGAGTGCATGGCGAATGCATTTTAAATGCATTTGCAAATTGTTTGCATTGTTTTTAACGTGTTTTTTTTTTTCGTATAATCTTGTTCATTTTGGTTTTTTGTGTGTAGTGTACTTAAAAATGTGGACAAGAGCGTGTTGAAATTAGCAAAGAAACAATGAGCCAACACACAAATGGAGCAGCGCAGCGGAACTGAGTCAAAGTCCCGAGAGCCAATTGCAGTGTGAGCCAAACACAATGCCTGTTGTCATGCATCTGCCATCCTTGTCGCACCCAGGCACAGGCACAGGCACAGGCACGCAGACGCACAGGCGACAAGCGAGGCGCAGCCAAGCAGAGCTTGCACTTTGAAATCAGCTCAATAGGCACTGTGAGCGAGCATGTGGCTAATCGAACGTCAGTTAGCTAAAAACGTTGTCGCCACTTTTGTCGCCTGTCAGCTTCGTTGACTTTTGACAGCGGCAAATTCGGTTGATTGTCAAGCTTTTGCTGTTACTCTCGCCGGCCATTGCGAGGCGTGCGTGCGAAAGGGAGAGAGCGCCAGCCCATTGACATGCTGCAGGCATGTGCGAGCGAGCCAAAAACACGTTTCGCCCGGCCATGCTTCTTGCTACGTTACAGCTACGTGCAAAAATAAGCTGACAGCGTCGCAGAAAAGCAATAAAAGAATGAAGAAAAACACAAAAACAAAATACAGGAGCAGCAGCAGCAAAAACAACAACATGCACAGGGGCGAATATGCACACGCACACACACACAGTCACACGCACACATGTACAGTGAGAGCAGCAGCGGAACACATACAAAATGGAATGCAATTAAAAACGGCAGGCAAAAAAACAAAAACAATCAACGAGAGCGAACGCAGCGAGAGCGTTGCGAACTTTTAATGGTGGCTTCGATTTGTTGTTGCTGTTGTTCTTGTTGTTGTTGCTGCTGTTGTTGTTGCTGCTGCTGCTGCAGTTGTCTGCATGTATTTGCATGGCTGCCATTGTCGTCGTTTCCGCACCGCGTCCCCTTCACGACAGCCCCTTGAAAATTGCACTCATCGTCAGTCGCATTTCGCATTCGTATCCTTGGCTCTTGTCGTCGTGTCGCGCTGTTGCTAATGATTGCCTCCGTCGCCGAGTGCCAAGTGAGAGCCCCCTGCCCCCTTACCCTCACCCCGACCAGTCATTCGACAACAACAACAACAACAACAACAACAGAAAGTCCCGCTGCCATTCCCGAACGGCATTTTTCAAGCTGTGCGCAGACTGCGCCATATTTGCACTTAATTGAAGTGCGTGCGTGTGTGTGTGTGTGTGTGTGTGTGTGTGTGTGTGTTTGTGTGTGCTTCGTTTTACTTGTGCATATTACATATTTTTTTTCAAGCCAATTGTGCTTGTTAATTTGATTTGCACACACACACACACACACACACACACACTCACGCACACATAGCCACATTTACACTCACTCATCTACAGACACCCCCCCTGCTACCCACACCCCCTGCTCTTCGAGTGGACAGGCTTCAAAGTGAACGTCAGCCATTTGGCCAGCGACTTCTTGTGCTTTCATTTGTTGCTGCCGAGTGCCCCCCAGCCCCCCATTGCAACCCCCTCCCCCCCTGCACAGCCGCTGTCGCTGCTTTTATCATTTGCCCTCTTTAACACACCTTCGTCTCGCTCGGCGCCATCTTGCTTATCTTGCAGCTTATCAAGTGGTCAAATTAAGTTTGTAGAAACGTGGGCGTGGTAGAGGGGGGGGAGGGGGGATTCTACTAGGAGATGTTGCGCTAGGATTTGGAATCTTTAAGGAACTTCTTAACTTGAGGCTATTCAATTTCACGGAATAATCTGATATCTTGGCAAATTTGTATTTTCAAGCAACTTTGGATCCTGATAAATCTATCATATCCCGATTTCTCTACTTTCTTTTCATGCCTTAAATTCCAATCAATATGTCTCTTCTTCTTCACTTCTTTTTCTAATAAGTCACATTGCTTTTGGCACCATTTCTTTTGTTCTTTCGGATCAATCTTAAGTATATAAAAAGTTAATATTTATAGCTTGTAACTGTTTTCCCGGTCTAGATATATCTGTACACCTGCATATCTCAAGAATCTTAAGAAACTATCTTCAAATAGGAAACTATCTAGCTTCGTTTTCTTATCTGATATGAAATGATTTAAAGATAATATATTGGGAAACTTGAAGCGAACGCACAATTATATAATAAAGAGCTATACAAATGATTAAAGTAAAGCTCTTTATATTCTTTTTTATCAGAATATTATATGAGAGTATTATATGATATGGGGGGAATCTCTCTATGAGTTTCCAAGCTGAATTATGAAAAGGGGCAACCCTTTTGAAGGGCCTGCATTGGGCCCAGCTGCAGCAGCTGCTGTTGCTGTTGCAAGCCCATTGAAAGTGTTGCAAGGTGAAGGTGTCTGGGCTGGGCTGGGCTGTGCTGGGCTGGGCTGGGCTGGGCTTGCCCCTTGGGATGATTCGAGGTGTCGATCATTGTCGCATTTGCAATTTGTTTGCAATTTGCGATTTTTGGAGTGTCGGCGAGTGTCGCCTGCCACGTTTTCTTACTTCATTTGTGCAGTTGTCGGCCGTGTTGCAAGAGTGTGTGCACTCGTAATTATGTAATCAGTGTGCCTCATTATGTGGCACTGTGTGTGTGCGTGTGTGTGTGGCAACACTTGCCAAGTGCCGCAACAACAAATCGAAGCAGCAGCCGCCTTTGATTTGGATTTCTGGCCCCTCGACGGCCATAAACCAAGAGATGCTCGCATCGCCAAAACTTTACTTTACGAGCGACCATAAAAACTGGACGCAAGCTGGATTTCTTGCTGCCGTGGCATGTGGCACGTGCCACTGCCGTGCAACGTGACACATTAAAACGTAAATCGATAACTCACCTGTATGCGATCCTCGGCGAGGCCCGTCTTCATGGAGAGCAGCTCCCGGGCGCTGACATCCGGATAGTGGGCCTCCTTGAAGGCCTTCTCCAGCTCCTCCAGCTGGCTGCTGGTGAATATGGTGCGTCCGTGTCGGCGCTTGTTCTTCTTCTTGCCGCCGGGACCAGCGCCACCGGGGCCGACGAGCACATCGCCGCCATGGCCGGCCAGCAGGCCGTTCGGATTGGCTGCGCCGCCAGCGCCGCCGGCGCCCAAAAATGCCGCCTCATGCGCATGATGCACATGTCCGTGGACATGGCCATGCGCATGATGCGCCGCATGGGCGTGGTGTGCATGATGGGCGGCCGCCGCGGCAGCGGCATGATGATGTGCCGCCGCTGCCGCTGCCGCAGCATGCTGATGTGCCGCCAGAGCGGCATGATGATGGGCTACCGTCGTCGTCGGCTGGCCGCCCTGCTGATGCTGCTGCTGCTGCTGCTGCTGTTGTTGCTGCTGCTGCTGATGCTGCTGCTGCACATGGGCCAAGGCGACGGCGGCAGCATTGGAGGAGGACGAGGCGGCCGAGGGCGAGCAGCGGCTGGCCGTTGAACCAGAGCCAGAGCCAGAGCCGGAGCCCGCGCTGTGGCCATTGCTGCTGGCGCCATTGGCTGCGCCGCCCGCTTGGCCATTGCTGAGGGCCGTGGGTGAGCCGAGCAGGCCGCCAGTGTCCGAAGCCGCGGCGCCAGATTTGCTGGGCGACTGCTCATCGCCGCTGGCATTGGCCAGGCTGCTGGCATAGTCCTGGCCACGTGCGGCCGCTTGTTCTGCAGGAGAGAGAAAAGACAACAAGGGAAACAGATGAGATGATGTTTGCCGCAGACATTCCTGGCGCTTGCTTAACATGCACATGTACCATGTCCCAACCAGATCGCAATCGCAATCGCTAAACCAACTGCACTACTCAATCGCATTTCCTTTAAATGCCAGACAATAGACGCTGTCAGACATGCGAGAGCTCATCCTTCAAAGGAAAAAAGCAATAGAAAAAAAAACCTCAGCTCTTGCTTATAGAAAACCTGGCCCTGTCCCTGGCCCCTGGGTCCTAGATTTTTCGCACACGATATGCGACAGCTGAAAATTGTTCCATGCTCGCCTGCCTTTCATTCAACAGCGCGCAGATTTTGACAAGTTGCCAGGATTTATTCAAATGTCAGCGAAGGGTTAAGCGCACGTCCTCGCAGCAATTCGACTCAACTCGACTCCTCAGTCTGGGTCTCAGTCTCGTTCTAGTTTCAGTTCCATATTTCGTGCATGTTTTTCTCCTTCTTCAGCTTCTCAGAAAAATTGCCACAAAATATTTTCTTTAGCCAGTTTTGTTTGGCTTTTCATGCTGCCTACTACCACAAAGACCTGGGCCAACGGCGGAGGGGAACTGGAACCGGGACGACGAAATCAGCAAGATGGTTTCGAGTGTGTGTGTGCGAGTGTGTGTGTGTGTGTGTGTGTGTGTTATGTTTCGTGTGCGCTTTGTTTTGACAATTAGGGTGTTAGGGTGTTAAGTGGTTTAGCCCTTTTTTTTTTTTTCTTTTGCTTTTTCTTTTTCTGGCTCGACTCAGGTCTCAAATTAAACGGGAATCGGCTTAGGCGTGTCGCACGGGGCGTTCTATTGTGATTAGATGTGTGTGTCTCTCTCTCTCTCTCTGTGTGTGTGTGTGTGTGTGTGTGCATTCACAATGATGGTCTCACTTTTCACCATAAGCGAAATTAGTTTCCGGGCCACTCGCTCAATCAACTTCCGAACTGACTGCGAGAACGGGTACAATAAATGCCTCTTGTTGTTGTCCTTCTTAAGTGTCTACTTTTATACATTTAATATATGCTCAAAGCATTATATAGCGTATTATATGCTGCCCATAAATAGCTCTAGGCTCTAAGCTCTAATCGGTGCGAGGGGGACAGAGAGAAAGTGGGCGGAACGCTAACATTGTACGCATAGTGAAGCGAATAATACTTGATATAGAAATTGTCTGCTTTTTATTAGAATATTATTTTATTTATTTCGAATGCTTTCAGCTCCATTTCAAACTCATTCCTGATGTCTGCCCATATATAGTATAAATACATGTATATATATGCTTGTTCAGTATAATCTTGATCAAACTGTGCAAATCACGAACTGCTCTCTGCTCCGCTAGCCCATAAAGTATATGAGTACATATCTCAATCAAGCTCGAAACTCGAGTGGAAACTAGTTTTCCAGCAACAGTCTGGCAACTTTGCTGGCAGCATATATGGCAGATCGAACGACTATATCGTATGGCTAACATATGTTGAAACGGTCGAAAATTAAACTCTTTCATGGATGGATCGATAATAAATCGGAGCAAAGGCAAAGGTATGATCGCTTGTAAATAAATCTGTTTAAAGGATAAATCTAGCTATATCCAGATATATATATATATATATATATATATATATATATATATATATATATATATGCATCATATATAAAGCAAGGAAAATATTCATACACATGTATATATATCTATATGTATGTCTATATCTATATATATGCCTTGAACGAGCACCTTCAACTTCTGTCTCGTTGCCTGTCACGACGCTAGAGCTTTGCTCAGTTGTTGTTGTTGTTGTCTTTGTTGTTGTTGTTGTTGTTGCTGCTGGTTGTCATGTGGCTGTGATTGTTTTTATTGCCTGGCTACTTTGGCAGGCATAATTAGACACACATCAATTAACAATTAGCTAACGACAGCTGCCCAATGTCCAGTCCACACATTTACACACACTCACACACACTCGCACACACACTTATAAATAGCAGCAACAACAAGGCCTTCGCCGCCCACTTGTTGGCTGCGGCGGGCTGCCAGATGAGTCGAGGGTCCGCTCGCCCGGTTAGCCACTTTGGTCAGCTATCGATGTCGGCGGCTGTTGCTCTCTCTCCCTCTCCCTCTCCCTCCCTTACTCGCTCTCTGTCTCTCGCTCTACCTCTCTCTGTCTCTCTCGCTTGTTGGCGACTAATTGAATTTGCTGCTCGGACCGTGCTGAAACGGGTCGCTTTGGTTTTGCCTGGGTCTGGTCAATGAATCGGCGCCATGAGTTGCTTGATTTTCTGTCATGCGATATTTTGCGGTTTGCCTGATGGCCCCTGTCCCTGCACACACACACACATCTCCCCCCCCCCCCCGTGCCCACTCTCCCTTTATTCCTTTGCTTTGTTTCGCCCTTTGGCTTCCTTGCACTGCCCGCTCTGCCCATTTTCCAGGTTCATTTTCCGCCTAAATTAATTTGATATTGAAGTTCGCATCTTTTCCGCTCTACGACTGTAATCTATACCCGGCTGACCTCCCTCACCCTCTCCTCCTACCCCTCCCCCTTCTCCTGCTCCTGTCCAGTCCTGGCCACTTCAGTGGCTCCTTTGTGCGTTTATTAAATGTTCAATTAAGCAATTTTCCAGCTAAGACTGGCTTTGTTCTCGATTCTCTTCGGTTATCGATATCTTTTTGCTATTTAATGAATTTCACATTAACTGACTGTCAATGGGTGGGGCAGGGGCAGGGGCGGGGTGCGGCACTCTTTTAATGGGATAATTTGCCAATTTGTTAAACGACAGTCGGTGGACGAGGCGAGGCGAGGCAAGTCTCAAGTAACCGTCCATTTACCTATAAAAACAACTATCGATAATTGCTTTGATAAGTGTCGAGCAGCGAGAAGTCTGGATGGGATCTAGTTGTTTGAGCTGGAGGAGGAGCTGTTAGCTGACTATTTGAACATTTATTCAGTTGCAGGAGCATTCGTTTATTGTTAATCAGATTTTGAATGTAAGCTTAAATACGGATTTGATTCAAATTGAAGCAGGTGAATGGAATAAATGGATTAAAGTAATATCGATAACTTTCGCATACTCGATAAACATATCATGACTATCGCAAGCAATCGATATATGTACGATTTTTGGCACACGTTTTGTGTATATCGTTATATAACTGACAACACGCCCTGTACTATCGATAACTATCGCAGCGACATATTACTGCACCCATTTCTTATATTCTGTCTTTCAGCTTTCTTTCGATAACTATCGATAACTACGACATGTACGCACAGCTGGTATACAATTTGTCGCCCAGCTCCCTAACGTTCCACCTCACTTTCGCATTCTATCGATAACTATCGCAGATACCCATTTAATATATTCGGCTTTCTTTCGATATTTATCGATAACTATTGTAACATTCAATACTCATTGCACACAATCTGTCGCTCTCTTCTCAATTACATTTACGAGTAGCTACCCACAATTCCGTTTGATATTGGCCTTGCTACTCGCATTTGTCAGTCTAAAGCGCAGAGATAAATGGCAGCCAAGGCAACTAGACCCCATTCGCCCCACAATCGCCCCCTTCCTACCAAGGCAATTCTGCAGCAAACGTGCCACAAAGCTGCGCCTAGTTGCGAGCGAGTCGTTTATAGAGAGACGCAATGTAAAATTACCAATAAAGTCAAATTGAAATTGCCAGACATATTAATAAAAGCCGCCACCCGGAAGGCCGCGTGTTGGAGGCGCAAGCCGGGCTGAGCTGCCAAGTATGTAGATGCCCTCGTCGGTTTTGGCATTGCGTAGACAACGACAATTTGCCGAATGAGTCGCACGGGTGCCACCAAAAAACCCAAACTAGACCAAAGGAGTGCAGGAGGGGAAACGAGCTAAACAAAAAAATAAAATGAAATAAAATCAAATAATATAAAACGCGATGCCTTGCGTCAGAGTTTCTCTTAGCGAATTCTCTGCGGCGATATTTTTGCTTTTAATTTTATTTCACTGAACACCTTCAGGGGCATGCAAGGGGCGCGAGAAAGAGTGGGGCGCAGGGGGGGGTGGTGGTGGTTAAAGTGGTAGCGAGACGCCATGAAGGAAATTTCTGTTGACAGGAAATACACTCGAAATTGGCAATTTTGCATTTACGTTAATAATACTCGAGCGTATTTACTACTTACGTAGAGAGAAGCGTGGCGTAGGGGCGACTGCTGAGGGGCGAGGGTGGTTAAGGAGGGTGTGGGCGTTGCCAAGCTACCGGCTGCTTTTGCTGTCTAGGCAAAATGGGGCCACATTTGTAGCTGCTGCCAGTTCTGCGTATTTTTATTTGCGCCAAGGCAAACGAGATGCTCGATGCTAGCCTGGGGGGGGTTGGGGCACGTTGGTGGGGCGCGGCGGCGGCTGGTGGCAACTGGTAGCCAAGCATCGCTGAGCCAATATGACGCGCAATTATTTGTAATGGAGACGTAAATAAGTTGAAGAAGCAAAGTGGCAAAAACGACAAAGTGGGTAAAGGCAAATGTTTTTCGGTGGTGCTTGCCAGCAGCAGCAGCAGCAGGGGGTGGGCGTTTGGTGGGGTTGGGAGCATTGCGTCTGGCGGGTGGTTTAGTTCCAAGTTGTTACACAAGCCCGAAAGCTGTCTTTTTTGGGGGTGGCTTGCGGCATGGTGGTTGCTGCTTGCTGCTTTGGGGGTGGCCGCTGCTGCTGCGGGAGACAATTTTTGGGCTTAGACATGCGGCCCCTCCCCACCCGCTCCGCCCACAGAGCCCAGCCCCACCCAGCCGCCTGCTGTTAGCTCGTTAACTCGATTTGCGCTGCGTGTTGTTTTCTTCGTACTTTTCTTTTTTTTATTTTTTTTTTTTTTGTTTTCTTCTTGTAATAAATACGAAAAAGCGGCAGGCGGAAGGCGGTGGGTGTCGGCAATCCCGTTGTTTTTTCCAAGATGGCGGGCAAACGCTGCAAGACGACATGCGAGTGCGAGCGAGAGGG